ACGGGAGACAGGCTCTCCCCCCGCCATCAGAGGTGGCTCCACGGGTGCAGAAGCCATGGCAGGTCCTTCAGCAGGGATAGCCCCAGGAGCGGGAGCACGGGGAGCAGCGCCAGGAGCAATGAACCAGCCCTAAGCGGAGGAGCCGTACCCCGAGGGCTGGGGCGTGCTGCCGTGTTCAGGGCCGAGGCAGCCGGGTGACCGCACAGATCCCCAGCTGGGTCAGTGGTTATGGGGTCACCCCGCACCACAGCACGGTCGGGGCTGAAAGGGGCCTCTGGGCTTGTCCAGCCCAGCCCCCCAACGCAGGGTCACCCAGAGCCGGCTGCACAGGGCCTCGGCCAGGCGGGCTTCGAGGAGCCCCCAAGCCACGGCTCCACGTGCAAGCGCGTCTGGCAAGAGGCGTGCTTCGCTTCCCCCCGCTCTGCGAGCGGACCCGTAACTTGTCCTGGACGGCCGCTCGGAAGCACTGCTGGGCATTTTAGGGAGCCCTCCAGCTTTAAAGCCTGCAGCGAACGCTAACACCCAAAATAGCACGGGCAAGCTGCTTGTGATGACTTGGGCTGGGTCACTCAAGGGACAACAGCGATTCATAGGGAGAGTTTAGCGGGGCGACACGGAGCTATTTTGCGTTGGCAGACTTGTGACTCATTTCATTTTACAGCGCAGAGCCAAGCAGCCTAAGCCTTGAATAGAGCTGGTGTGGTGATTGTGCGCTGCGGTGCCCACACACATGAAAGAGCAACTGGTTTTCTCCGTACGGAATTTCCTTTGTGGACAGTTCATCCCAGCTCCCTTTACACATCATGCAAACACGGTCATGCAGCCGCAACTCTGAAATGAATGCTGCTTTCTTTGCATTGTTCGTTAGCAGATCGCACTCCTCGGACTGCACATTAAAGTTAAATGACTGAGAGAAGATTAAAATAAAACTTGTTAGCTGTTTTTCATAACAAAATAGCACTGCTGTTTAGAAGAATAACAAGTTACAAAATCGTTTCATAGATTAAAGCAAAGATTAATTTTGCTCATAGCACTCAGGGGACGGTTGAAGGATAATTTCTGTACGTCGCAGACAGAAGCCTGCAAGGAGGCTCAGGCTGCACAGGGCTTGGACGGGGCTTTGAGCAACGTGACCCAGCGCGGGGTGTCCCTGCCCACGCAGGGGGTGGCTCCGGGTGACCTTTACGGGTCCCTTCCAACCCAAACCCTTCTATGATTCACGAGGAAGCATGAGCTGTGCCAGACCAACGCGCTCTTGCCTTCATGTGCAAGCTAAGCACTAGCCCTGGCATTTTGCTTCACCCGAAGCCCGGAGCTATTTACCAAGAAAAGGCCTAAAAAGGCAATAGCTGGCCTAGATCTCAGATCAGCAGAGGACGTCGGTGCGGAACAGGCTGTACCTGGCGTGCTTTGACATCAGAGTTCGTGTCTGCAGCTTCGACCTCTGAGGAGCCAGGGGCAGCCGAGAGAGGAAAACAACAACGCCAAGGCGCTGCCGATGGCGGGGCCCCCGGAGGGTCT